TAGAGAAAGATATTCCCATACAGATGCAAGAGGCCTCCAGGACACCAAACAGACCAGATCAAAATAGAACTACTCCATGACATATCATCATTAAAACAAAAAGTTCAGAAACTAAGGAAAGAATATTGAAGGCTGTAAGAGAGAAAAAACAAGTAACATACAAAGGTAAACCCATCAAAATCACAGCAGACTTCTCAACAGAAACATTAAAAACAAGAAGAGCTTGGGGTGAGATCTTCCGGGCACTGAATGAAAATAACTTCAACCCCAAGATACTCTACCCAGCAAAACTATCATTCAAATAGATGGAGCAATAAAAGTCTTCCATGATAAGCAGAAACTAAAACAATATGTGACCACAAAGCCACCATTACAAAAGATTCTGCAAGGGATCCTGCACACAGAAAGTGAAACCCAACTTAACCATGAAAAGACAGGCAGCACCAAACCACAGGAAAAGAAAAAGCAAGACAGTAGAGAGTAACATCAACTTAGGTGCACACAATCAAACCTTCAAACAACTAAGACAACTAAATGACAGGAATCACCACATACCTATCAGTACTAACACTTAATGTTAACAGACTTAATTCACCCATCAAAAGGCACTGTTTGACAAAATGGATTAAAAATAAGATCCAACAATTTGTTGCTTACAGGAGACCCATCTCACCGACGGAAATAAGCATATGCTCAGGATGAAAGGCTAAGAAGATTTACCAAGCCAATGGCCCCTGAAAACAGGCAGGAGTAGCAATACTGATCTCTGACAAAGTAGACTTCAAACCTACATTGATCAAACAAGATAAAGAAGGACATTCCATACTAATAAAAGGGGAAATAGACCAAAAGGAAATAATAATCATCAATCTGTATGCACCCAATGTCAACGCACCCAATTTCATCAAACATACCCTGAACGACCTAAAAGCATATATAAACGCCAACACAGTGGTTGTGGGAGACTTTAACACCCCATTATTATCAATAGAAACCATACAAAGAATTAATGAAAAAGTTGGTTCTTTGAAAAAATAAACAAGATCGATAGACCTCTGGCAAACCTGACTAAAATGAGGAGAGAAAAAACCCAAATTAGTAGAATCAGGAATGCAAAAGGGGAGATAATAACAAACACCATGGAAGTCCAGGAAATCATCAGAACTACTTTGAGAACCTATATTCAAATAAATTTGAAAATCTTAAAGAAGTGGACAGATTTCTAGATACATATGATCATTCAAAACTGAACCAAGAAGATAATAATCACCTGAATAGACCTATAACACAAAATGAAACTGAAGCAGCAATCAAGAGTCTCCCCAAAAAGAAAAGTCCAGGACCTGATGGATTCTCTGCTGATTCTATCAGACCTTTAAAGAAGAACTGATACCAACCCTCCTTAAACTGTTCCATGAAATAGAAAGGGAAGGAAAACTGCCAAACACATTTTATGAAGCCAGTATTAAAACCAGGCAAAGACACCTCCAAAAAGAAGAACTATAGGCCAATCTCCTTAATGAACACTGACGCAAAAATCCTCAACAAAATAATGGCAAACCGAATCAACAACACATCAAAATATTATTCACCACGACCAAGTAGGCTTCATCCCAGGGATGCAGGGGTGGTTCAACATACGAAAATCAATAAATGTAATAAACCACATTAACAGAAGCAAGACAAAAACCACATGATCATCTCAATAGATGCAGAAAAAGCCTTTGATAAGATCCAACACCACTTCATGATAAAAGCTCTAAGAAAACTAGGAATAGAAGGGAAGTACCTCAACATTATAAAAGCCATATATGACAAACCTACAGCCAGCATTATACGTAACAGAGAAAAACTGAAACCATTCCCTCTAAAATCAGGAACCAGACAAGGATGCCCACTATCTCCACTCCTATTCAACATAGTACTGAATTCCTAGCCAGAGCAATTAGGCAAGAAGAAGGAAAAAGGAATACAAATAGGTAAAGAAACTGTCAAAATATCCCTATTTGCAGACGACATGATCCTATACCTTAAAGACCCAAAAAACTCTACTCAGAAGCTTCTAGACATCATCAATAGCTACAGCAAGGTAGCAGGATATAAAATCAACATAGAAAAATCATTAGCATTTCTATACACTAGCAATGAGCAAACTGAAAAGAATATATGAAACAATTCCATTTACAATAGCCTCAAAAAAATCAAATACCTAGGTGTAAACCTAACAAAAGATGTGAAAGACCTCTACAAGGAAAACTATACACTTCTGAAGAAAGAGATTGAGGAAGACTATAGAAAGTGGAGAGATCTCCCATGCTCATGGATTGGTAGAATCAACATAGTAAAAATGTCAATTCTCCCAAAAGTAAACTACGTGTTTAATGCAATTCCCATCAAAATTCCAATGACATTCATTAAAGACATTGAAAAATCTACTGTTAAATTTATATGGAAACACAAGAGGCCACGAATAGCCAAGGCAATACTCAGTCAAAAGAACAATGCAGGAGGTATCACAATACCTGACTTCAAACTATATTACAAAGCAATAACAATAAAAACAGCATGGTACTGGCACAAAAACAGACATGAAGACCAGTGGAACAGAATAGAGGACCCAGATATGAAGCCACACAACTATAAGCAACTTATCTTTGACAAAGGAGCTAAAAATATACGATGGAGAAATAGCAGCCTCTTCAACAAAAACTGCTGGGAAAACTGGTTAGCAGTCTGCAAAAAACTGAAACTAGATCCATGTATATCACCCTATACCAATATTAACTCAAAATGGATCAAGGATCTTAATATCAGACCCAAACTCTAAGTTGATACAGGAAAGAGTAGGAAATACTCTGGAGTTAGTAGGTATAGGTAAGAACTTTCTCAATGAAACCCCAGCAGCACAGCAACTAAGAGATAGCATAGATAAATGGGACCTCATAAAGCTAAAAGCTTCTGTTCATCAAAAGAAATGGTCTCTAAACTGAAGAGAACACCCACAGAGTGGGAGAAAATATTTGCCACTATACTCAGACAAAGGACTGATAACCAGAATATATAGGAACTTAAAAAACTAAATTTCCCAAAAACTAATGAACCAATAAAGAAATGGGCAAGTGAACTAAACAGAACTTTCTCAAAAGAAGAAATTCAAATGGCCAAAAAACACATGAAAAAATGCTCACCATCTCTAGCAATAAAGGAAATGCAAATTAAAACCACACTAAGATTCCACCTCACCCCTGTTAGAATAGCCATCATTAGCAACACCACCAACAACAGGTGTTGGCGAGGGTGCGGGAAAAAGGAACCCTTTTACACTGTTGGTGGGAATGTTAAACTAGTACAACTACTCTGGAAAAAAAATTTGGGGCTACTTAAAAAGCTAGACTTGATTTACCATTTGATCCAGGCATACCACTCTTGGGATATACCAAAAAGGACTGTGAACAGGTTACTCCAGAGGCACCACACCCATGTTTATTGTGGCAGCCTATTCACAATAGCCAAGTTATGGAAACAGCCAAGATGCCCCACCACTGACGAATGGATTAAGAAAATGTGGTATCTATACACAATGGAATTTTATGCAAGCCATGAAGAAGAACGAAATGTATCATATTGCTGGTTAAATGGATGGAATGTGAGAACATCATTCTGAGTGAGGTTAGCCTGGCCCAAAAGAAAAATCGTATTGTTCTCCCTCATATGGGACATTAGATCAAGGGCACAACCAAAAGGGGATTGGACTTTGAGCACATGATAAAAAAGCGAGCACACAAGGGGAGTGAGGATAGGTAAGACACCTAAAAAAATTAGCTAGCATTTTGTTGCCCTTAACGCAGAGAAACTAAAACAGATACTTAAAGCAACTGAGGCCAATAGGAAAAGGGAACCAGGAACTAGAGAAAAGGTTGAGATTCAAAAGAATTAACCTAGAAGGTAAACACACGCACAGGAAATCAATGTGAGTCAACTCCCTGTATAGCTATCCTTATCTCAACCAGCAAAACCTTGTTCCTTCCTATTATTGCTTATACTCTCTCTTCAACAAAATTAGAAATAAGGGCAAATAGTTTCTGCTGGGTATTGGGGTGGGGGAGAGAGGGGGGGGAGTGGGTGGTAAGGGAGGGGTGGGGGCAGGGGAGAAATGACCCAAGCTGAGCTACATAGCAAGACTATCTCAAAAAGCCAAAAAAAAAAAGGCAGGAGGAAGGAAAGAACGAGGAAGGTAATAGATATTTCCTCAACCAGTGCTGTGTGCCAGGCACTGTACTGACAGCCCTCCTATAGTTTTCTTTAATGCTGGGGCAATCCAAGCAGTGCTTACTAGCAGTCCCATTCACAGTACAGAAAGTAAGGCTTGACGGGGGCTTGGCTGAGGCTAAAATAGGTTGTGCCAGATTTCAGGTCAAAGTTTCTTACTTTGTAGCTGGCAAGATTTTCAAAACCCTAAGACAGCTTGAAGACTTTAAATTGGTCAAATACTGTGATTATCTAAGTCAATCCTCTACTTGATCTTACTTAAGGCTTTGTTTTCCCTGAGAGAAAGATCCAGGTAAGTAAATAATTCCCAAATAGTAAAACAAGACTGGTGAATGGAATTACTACAGCTCTTGATACCTTATAAAATCCTATAGAAGTCAGTCAGCAGAATTCTGTCTTAGGAAAAAACCTAAGAGAGTAGACAATAAGAGTTATATTGGTGCACAATTACCCAACACTACATGTTGCTTTACTCTTATTCCTTTGCTTGTGGCTATTTTTTTGAGACTGGGTCTCACTATGTAGCTCAGATTGGCCTCAAACTTGTGATCCTCTCCCGAGTGCTGGGATTATAGGCTGGTGCTACCACTCTTGGTACTTGTGGTACATACAACAGAATAACGTTCATATTTATGCCTCACTGTCAGATCCTTCCCTGGCTTGCTACCTGGTAGGTACATTTGCAAATAGCCCCCAGTGGAAAGCATAGGTTATTTATTCTTAAAATTTACCTGTAAATATAACAGTGTTGAGACTAGATTTTCCCCAGAGCTCCATGAAGTGAACCACATCCCCAAACCGGAGAGAAGGGTGCCCAGTGAACACCACACATGGCTGTCTGAAGTCGTTGCTGAAGTCTCCATGGATGCTGGGGTAATGCTTCAGCTTATTGGTCTGAATGAGCTAGAACACGTAAAAAAACATACAAGAGCTGTTAGTCTGCTTGGGTTAAAGAAAGAACCAAGGAATGGGAGAATGTGCAAAAATGACTTAAAAATACAGACGAAGAAGCCAGATTTCACACTGGTAGAGAATGCAAAAGACAGTTCTGACAGACAAGTATTACCGACAATGTACAAACTCCTAAAACTCTGTAAGAAATGAACCTAATTAAAAATGGGCAAAAGGCCTGGACAACTCATCATACAAGATATGAGAGCAAATAAGTATGTGAAAAGATGATCGTTAATGATATGCAAATTAAAATAACAGGGAGATACTACCACCTGCCTGTTACAAAGGTCAGAATCTAGAACACTGACAACACCAAATGCTGACAAGGACATGGAGCAACAGGAACGCTCAATCATTGCTGGTGGGAAGGCAAAATGGTACAGCAAGTGTGGGAGATATTTTTCACCAAAACATACTTACTATAGGATCCAGCAATTGTGCTCCTGGTATTTACACAAAAGGAACTGAAAAGTTACTGTTCACACACAAAAAAAACTGCCCATGGATGTTAATAGCAGCTTTATTCATAATTGCCAAAACTTGGAAGCAACCAAGATATCCTTCAGCAGGTGATGGACATATGGTGGTACATCCAGACAAGAGAAATGTGCTTTCAAGTCATGAAAAGATGTAGAAGAACTTCTTATTAAGTGAAAGAAGCCAATCTGAAAAGGCTAGAAACTGTATTATTCCAGCTATATGACTTTCTGGAAACTACAGAGATAATAAAAAGATCAGTGGTTGCCAGGGGTTAATGGGGAGAAAGGGATGAAGGAGATGGAGCACAGAGAATTTTTAAGGCAGTGAAATTGTTCTGCATGATACTATAATTGTACATGCATGTTATTATGTATTTGCCCAAACCCAGAGACTAAACACCAAGAATGAATTCTAATGGACTCTGGGTGATAAATGTAGCTTGTAGGCTCATCAATTTAACAATATGCCACTCTGGTACAGGGTGCTGACAGTGGGAGAGACTGCATGTGGGCTGTGCAGGGAATACATGGGAACTGTACTTTCTGATCAGTTTTGTGGTGAAGCTAAAACTGCTCTAAACAATAAAATTTATTAATCAAAAAATACAGATGCCCCTCAATTTATGACAGGATTATATCCCAATAAACTCCACATCATAAACTGAAAATATCAAGTGAAGAAGGCATTTAATACACCTAACCTACTAATCATCACAGTTTAGAAGCACAACGCACTACAGTGCAGGTTGTTTCCCTTCGTGATCTTAGGGCTGACGGAGCTATGGCATGTTGCTGCTGCCCAGAGGATGTACTTTATATCACCAGCCCAGGAAAAGAGCCAAATTTCCAGTATGGTTTCTACCTAATACATACGGTGTTCATACCATTATCACAAAGTAAAAAAAAAAATTGTAAGCTGAACCACTGTAAGTTAGGGCCTGTCTGTACACATGAAAATCATTACAATTAGCCAAAGATAAAAAGTTTTTAGCAACAATGTGAACAAAGGGGAAAGTCAAATCCATTTGGTAATATTAATGTATTTGAAGCTTTTAAGCAGGTTGTTATGGTCTTATTTAGTTTAACTCTTTCTCTGTAGCTTTCTGATATCCAATAACACAACAAAATCCCTTAAAATATATACATAAGAGTATTTCTTTCTATCTGTACATACTAAAAATACATACACACCAATTCAGTCTAACACCACAGGATTAATTATAGCCCTCAGTTTTTCTTATCTTTAACTCCCAACCTTGATGATTTTTTTCTTTCCTGGTATTGGGGTTTGAATTCAGGGACACATGCTTGCTTAGGCAGGCACTCTACTGCAAACCCATTTCATTTTTTTGAACAAACTGAACACATGCATGAAGCCATCTGGACATCAGGAAAGAACCAGCTCCTTGGAAAACCCTATATCCTTCAGGTCCTAACATCCCACCCCCACCTCTAGGACAACCACTATCCTGGCTTCTAATACAATAGATTATTCATCATTTATCTTTTATGTAGATAAAACCCTAGCATAGGTACTCTGGCTTCTTTTACCCACATTACTTTTTTGAAGTTTATTTCATTGTTGCAAGTAGTTGGAATCCATTCATTCTCATTAATGTACGGTATTCCACTGTGTAAGTCACCCACATAATCCAGTCCACTGTTGAGGGCCACCTGGGATTTATCAGTACTGTTACTGTAATTCTATGAAGACTTTTGGTAATATGCCTGTATATTTCTGCTCACTACATACTTTGGGAATAAATTTGCTGAAGGATAACATATGTTGTACTGCTCTAGCAGATACTGCCAACAATTTTCTGAAGTGCTTATTCCAATGTAAACATCCTTTTTATAAAAAATTTAACAAAAAATAAGGGGTAACTCTACTGTCACCGTAGCAGGAAGGCAGGGAGGGGGAAGAGAGATTAATGAGTGCTATAGTAAAACAAAGGAAAAACTGGAGTTGGGGAATGTTACCTGGACACTAGAGAAGGGTCACCTGGACCCAGAGGTTAGAGCAGCCAATAAAGTGACATGTGATTATGTATGGGACAAACTGCACCTCTCCCCCCATTTCTGTAACCTGCTCTAAATGATATATAAGGAAAGACCTCTTTGGTCTTGGGGCTCAGCCTTTGGACACAAATCTGCTGAGTTGCTGCTGGCTTGCTTAATAAACTTGCTTCCTGAAAGCTTTGGTGCCCTCTCAGTCTCTGTCTGAACTCTCCCTGCATTTCTAGGGGCTTGTCCAGGATTTGGAGGGTGGTGTTTGCACCTCATCACCGGCTCAACATCCCAGGCTCACCAGAAAGGCTACCCTGCCAGGACCATGGGACTGTGTTGATCTGGGTGAGGGAACCTTTCTCCCAGCAAGATGAAGTGAGTTCTAGTTGCACAAAGGAATCTGGAAAGATCTGGAAACCAACCTGGGAGCCCAGATTATCAAACTGGTAAGAACCCAGGTTCAAATTCAGACCTGTCTCAGGAAGGCAGAAGGGGAATCTGATCAACTCTCAAAAGGCACCCTAGTAACCACCTTTTATGGGGTGAAACCATGTCTTTCAGGTTCAGGGAGTGGGATGGAAGCGCCGTGCTATGTGACAGTGTGTGAAAGTGTGAGCCTGAGATGAAGCCTGCTTATGAAGCAAATGTGGAGTCCTGATCTGTGGCTCAGTGGCAAACTCACATGGTCTAGGGTAAGCCCTAACAGGGCCTCTGGTCCAGGGCTTATACAGACTCTCTATGGGCAAGAGATGCCTAAATCCCTGTGAGGGGAGGGGAGTGGCTGGAGATGGACAAAATGAGTGGTGTTATTTGTTTTCCCCTGTGTGCCAGAGAGGAGGACCCCTTACCTCCTCTCCACAGTCTTCATTCCTTCCATCTTTGTCTCTGTCTAAATGGGAGGAATGGGAGGAGGTCAGAGTAAGAACCCCCCCTAGAACTTTAAGAGGGGATTTAATGGAGATTATGGGGTCAAACTGACTTCTGACAAGCTTAGGACCTTCTGTGTAATAGACTGGCCTGCTTTTGGTATAGGTGGCCCTTGGAGGGCTCATTAGATAAGGTCATAGTCAATAGAGTTTTTAAAGTGGTTTTATGGGAGCCTGACACACCCAGATGGTTCCTTACATTGACTGCTGGCAGAATGCAGTCCTCAGTCAGCCCACAGGGCTAAAGCCCCACCTAGAGAAAGCATGTAAGGTTATGGTAGCCAGGGCAGCAGCAGCTTCCAAGTATAGGGATAAATGTAAAAACCCAGAAAAACCCATAAATGGGGGACCCTGAGGAGTCCTCACCCCCTTAGGTGTCACTGTACAGACTGGAGAATTTCTAGGGGCTACAGGTTTCTGTTGGATCTGGATCCCCAATTACTCTTGGCAAAACTACTTTATGAAGCCACAAAGTGGGGAGTACAGGAATCCATGTATGGGAAGAGAAAGAAAAAAAAGCCTTTAAAAAAAATTAAGAGGGCATTCACAAACACCCCTGCTCTGGGCCTGCCACTTGTGATAAAGCCCTTCTTCCTATGTGTACACAACAGACTGGGAGCTGTAGGAGTTGTGACCCAGCTGCTAGGTTCCTCGCATTGCCTGGTGGCCTATTTATCAAAGCTACTTGATGCAGTTTCCCCAGGCCAGCCATTCTGCCTGTGCGCCCTGCAGCTACTACTGCCTTGGTGGCTGAAGCAGACAAACTTACTTTGAGACCAAAACTCACAGTCCTGGTTCCTCACTCTGTTTGACTCTCATGGAATATAAAGAAAATTATTGGTTAACAAACTCTCGAATGGTCAAATATCAAAGCATGTTATGTAAAAATACACATGTCCAGCTAGAGGTTGTTAAGACTCTAAACCCAGCCACCCTATTACGGGTTAATTCAGGCCCACTGGAGCATGACTGTTTAGAGATTATGGATGAGATATTCTTCCACCAGCCAGGCTTGACCGACCAGCCCAATAGTCATCTGGATGTTGAGTATTTCATGGATGGCAACAGCTTTGTCTGAAAAGACACGTTTTGCCGGATATGCAGTAGCGACTCTGGACACTGTCATTAAAAACACAACCACTGCCAGTTGGGACTTCTAACTCGGGAAAAAAGTGTTAAATATGGACAAAAAATTCTAAAATTACTAAAAGCTGTATGGGCCCCTAAGTGAGCAGCAGTCATGCACTGCTGAGGGCACCAGAAGGGGGAGACAACCGCTGCTCAGGGAACTCAGAAGGTTGATAGGAAAGCTAAGCAATCAGCCTTCTCAGGAGGACAAACCTCAGCCTCACTGGCAGCTGCCTTGTCCCTCTGTCCCTTCTCTAAATGGGACCCACAGTATACTTCACAAGAACAGGCTGGAGACTGAAGGAGGAAATTTTCTACCAGACAGATGGTGGAAGTTTACTGATGGCTTCATTGCCATACCTGAGTCACTGGCCCCCACATTTGTCAAGCAGTTCCATGAAGGAGCTCAATCAGGGTAAACAGCTCTCGAGACCAGTTGGCCCAGCATTTTTATGTCCCCAAGCTCTCCAGCATATATAAGATAGTATGTGAAAGGTGCACTCCATGTGCCAGAAACAATACCCTATGTTTGCTGGCTGAGGTGGTAGAGTTAATGACTAAGAGATTAAAAATAAAAGCTACACATGGCCTACCACCCTCAGAGTTCAGGGAAAATAAAACATAAAATTATAATTCAAAAAAACTATGCTAGGAGACCCACCTACTATGGGATCAATTACTGCCCATAGCCTTGCCCTAGCAAACAGATGGATCTCTCCCCTTTTGAAATTCTTTTTGGGAATCCACCCCCGTTAGTCAAGAGCCTGTGAGGAGACCTTAAGAAAATAGGTAACCTCACCCTGAGACAGCAGATACAGGCCCTTGCGTTGACTCTCTCAAAAATCAGTAACTGGGTAAGAGAGAGACTCCCTGGTAGCCTGACAACTGCCATGCACCCTTATAAACCAGGGGATGCTGTCTGGGTAAAGGAATGAAATGTTCAATGATAAAGCCCCACTGAAAGGGCCCTTTTGTTGTTGTTTTGTCCACTCCTACCACATTTAAAAGTAACAGAGATCCCTCCCTGGATCCACCACAGCTGAGTGAAGCTAGTTCCCTGAATGGGAGTGCATCCCTGAACCAGCCTCAGCATACAAGATCACCTTGAAAACACTAGCGCCCTTCCCCAACGGGACCCTGCTTCCCAGAGACAACAGGAGACAATGGATGACAAGATGTCAGCCCTGCTTTAGTCACTTCGGAAGCTGACTAGTCTATGAACGGCAGAAGCCTGAGGAGTCTCCCATCTTACTTTTGAGGATGAGTGTCTTCCGTGTTTTCTTCTTGCTACCTGGTCAGGTCTCTACCTGGGGAACCCCCAGGCTTTGGATTGTGATTCATGTATGCAAACTACCCAAGCAGGGAGTGCTGTTACCAAAATTCTGGTTTTCCATACTTATTATTCCTTTACAGGCACCATTGTTGGGTCATGCATCCACAGCCATACCACCTACTCAGTGTGCTTCCATAATGGTCAGTATATCTGTTTTAACTCTATCTATCACCCTTAGGAGCAATGGCTAGAGGTCCAACCCCAACAAATTTGTGTTTACAATAGCTAAAAATACTGGGCCTTAGGGCAACTGTGGGGGGCTAGCCTGAGAAAGGACCTACAGGTGAAATGACAAGCATTTATGCCCAAAAGATGACACTGGATCATCCGGTTGTGCATCCTAAGAACAACTCTACTGCCCTTATTGGGGTTGTGAAAGGTGGGCAACTTGGCTTAAAGGGGAAGTCCATACCTCACATGGAACTGCCACAAAACAACCCCCAACTGCTTTCTTGGTGCCCGTAACCCTGTATATTTCACTATTTTTCAATCTCAACAAAATAGACTGGGCAGTTGGGGAAAAGTCTGACATTCTAATCCTTAAAAAAAAAATCAGACTCTAGTACTTTGCTGCATTTTCAACTCATCATGATCACTCATGAGAGCTCCTCATACCAGGCCTTTGCTCCTTTTATGAGGAGATACAAAGTGAGTTTCCCATCTCAGTTACAACCAAAAATATGTTTCTCTCACTAGCTGATGTTTGTGGGGGAATGAATAGGAGAGACCATTGGACATGGGAGGCAAAAGAGGTAAACCCACAAGAGTCCTTTAATAAAACTACTCCCCCTGCCACGGGGAGAGCATTTGGCTTCAAAAACTTCTATTATTGGGAATTACTGTATCTCCCATCCAAAAGGCCAATTCTCCACCCCAGCAGGGGACTTGATCTGCTTGGGACAAAAGTTTTACAATGACACTACTCAGGAGACTCATAGGGGTTCCCAATCACAGGGAGCCCCAACCTCACATGCTGGCTAACTTCCCTACCAATAGCCTAGAATAATCTCAATCTGAGTAGCTGCTGTTTACAGATTAATGACAAGATAGAAAAGCTTGCCCATGTCCCTGTGCAGACCTGGAAGGGATGGAGCCCCAGTGATCTATTCGGGGGCTAGTTCTCAACCCTAAGTGGTTTCAAGACCTCAATAGGGACAACATTCCTTATCTTAAGAGCATGCCTGGTATTATCCTGCCTAATCCCCCAGTACTGTGGTCCTTATCAAGATGATGCTCTTTGACCCAGAAGTTGGTCCAAGCATCAAAAGGGGGAATGTGGCAGAAAGGCGGGGGTGGGGGTGGGGTGAGGGGGCTGGAGATTAATCAGTGCTACAGTGAAACAAAGGAAAAACTGGAGTTGGGGAGTGTTACCTGGAGACCAGAGAAGGGTCGCCTCGACCCAGCGGTTAGAGCAGCCAATAAAATAACATGTGACTATGCACGGGACAAGCTGCACCCCCCACCCCATTTCTGTAACCTGCTCTACATGGCATATAAGGAAAGCCCCCTTTGTTCTCGCGCTCAGCCTTTGGACATGAGTCTGCTGAGTCGCTGCTGGCCTGCTTAAGAAACTTGCTTCCGAAAGCTTTGGTGCCCTCTCAGCCTCTGTCTGAGCCCTCCTACAACACAACAGTAGAGAATCATTAAACTCATTATAGTATGTTTGTGATATGCTGTGGACTATGAGGCAGCAATAATAGTAATATGAAGCACACAGAAAAATGTTCAAGATTCACGATTTGGTGAAAAAACAAAACAATAGGAACAAAACCAGGTATTGGGCCACATAAACACACACTCATCAGTCCTGTGGAGGGAGGGAGACTTGTTTTTCATCTTTTAAACTGCTATTTTCATCATTAAAAATTTACATGGGTGATTCACATAACTGGAAAGAACATTTTGACAATAAGTAAATCTGTTAGCTTAACAAGTTAACAACAGATATTAGAATAGAAATCTCTCACATGGTCAATGTAAGAGAGGTGGGCTAGGAATGTCCATCGTGGTCACGTAACGTGGTCATAAGAGGAAACACGAAAGAATAGTGATTAAAGTACTTTGGTTTCATTAGAATTGAGAAACCACACTCACATCAAGTCACCTACATTTCTTTCCTACATGAACCCAGTAATTCTGTTTTCTTACCTCTGCATGAGGAAAAGGCGGTTCTGGGAGATACACCTTACTCTGTTTGTTGTGACAAAGCCTTTTAAAGAAGAAAAGCAGATCAACATATTAGGAAGTGCAAACTGAGCATTTGTTGCCACCTTGTGGCAGCAGAACAAATATTAAATACTAAAGTTTATTTAAAATTTTCCTGGGAGTGAATTTCACTATGAATAAAAGCCAGTACCTACAGAGTATTTAGGACATATGTCTCTTGTGAGCCTATTTTGTTAAATCTTTAAAATTCCTCAATATGTTTTTTTCTTGAACTTGTTATTTTGAGATAATTTCAGATTTACTGAAGAGTTGGAAAGACAGTCCCCAATGTTATGTTACATAGCCACGATACATTAATCAAACTGGGAAATTAACATTAGAATTTATTTTTGAGGCAGGGTCCTAATATGTAGCCCATGCTGGCTTGGAACTTGCTATGTAGTCCAGGCTGGCTTCAAACTTTCGATTCTCCTGCCTCAGGTTCCTAAGTGCTGGGATTACAGATGTGTAGCCCTATGCCTGGTTAAGTACACTGGGCACTCACATTTCAGAGCTGCTTTTTTTCTCTTTCTTTTTTGGTGCTGAGGATCAAACCCAGAGCCCCATATGTACTAGATGAGCACTCTACCACTGAACTATACACATCATCAGTCCTACAGTTTATTAAACTTCAGACTTTGTTTGGATTTCACAAGTTTTTCCACTCATGCCCTTTTTTTGTTCCAGGATCCAATTCAAGACACCATATTGCATTTAACTGTGATCAACTTTCAGGAGAAAGTGAGGTGCCTTTTTCTGAGACAAGGTTTTTTGTTTTTATACACGTACTATTTCATTTTTTTTTTTTTCTCCCCCATGTCCCCTGAGTTTTGAGGCTTGGGTCAGCCAGGCCTGGGGACAGACAGCACCCGTCACTCTCGTCCACCTCAAGGGGCACCGACAGTTCCTGGAGACCCTCTGAATACGAAGCCTGGCCCTCCTCGCTACCCTTCCCTCCTTGTGCCCCGGCCCTATGATTCTCATGGTGGTAGACACTCCCTAGGATTTGGGAAGGAAAAGCAAAAGAGACTAAAACTAAAAAATGCCTATCAGGGAAAAAAAGGCCTAAATGCAAATTTAGACTCTGAAACAGAGAAAGGTTATTAACGGAAAAACTGCTGCAATTGGACTAAAGATTGGTGTTTAGTGAGTAACATGCTAACGTTAGGGGAAGCCAAATGAAAAGTTCATGGGAACTCTGAATTATCTTTGTACTTTTTTGTAAATCTAAAATTATTCCAAAGTGCTAAGCTTGTTACTTAAAAAATAGGCAAAATGATTTAATAAAAGATAAAATTCAAAAAAATGTCAAAATGGTAAAAAAAAAAAGGCCTACAGAATTATAATAAAAAGTTATTATCTTTGATATACACATAAAGAGTTCAAATATAAGAGAAGTACAGAACCTCTAAGAAGTAAATGGAAAAAAGGGAAGAATTTACATAAAAATTATTGTTGCAAGCAATTTAGAATCAGATGATGAACACTAAAAATATAAACAAATACCCTTTGTTCTAGTAATTCCACTTTTAGTAATTTACCTCATTGTATATACATAGAATGATATTAATTGAGGACTTACTGTTAAAAGCAAAAAAGCTTTTCATTCAATAAGGAAACAGTAAACTAAATTATACACATACAAATGATATAATATTGTAGTCATGCAAAAATTATGTTCTCAAAGATTTTATAATGTTTTAGCATAATAATTTTTAGAAAACCAGATTAAAAATTAAATATTTAGCATGATCTCCATGTAGAAAGAAAAAAGACGTCAGAATGCTAGCCGAAATAACTTATTTGTGGAAAATGGCATCAGTGGTGCAGTGGTTTTTTTATAACATTTTTCTATAGTAAACATTATTACACATATATTAGGAACTAACATTGTCTAAAAACCAGAAACACAAAAATGTTCTATAGTACTCATAGTTCTGAATTCAATCCAGTGATGTGTCCCAGCAACATGGAAAAGACCGTACTGAAATCACAAGCTCAGCAGGAAGGGACACTGTCCACAGAGTCTACAGGCTAGCCCCAGAAGTATTTCTTACACTATTTTTACTTAGGATCTGGATAAAGAAATTCGTATAATGCTGATTAAATCTGCAAGTGCTACTTCAGGTAGACTATTAATTATTTAAGATTACCTTCCTATTCAGTTGGAAAAATATATGTACAAAACACAAAATTTAGTTAAGTGTTAACAAAAAGCAAGGATGTCCAAATATAGAAAAAATACAATTAAGTGGGGTGAAAACAAAATGTACTTAAAAAGAAGAAGGAGCTGGGAACAGCATAATGTTGGGATATGTTATGTCTGAAATCTGTCAAAGTTCACTTTTAAATAAACTTAGCAATTGCTGTGTCCATTTGGCTACCTCACTACTAAAAGGGAGTACACAACTCTACATTGTGTATGCCAAAGCTCTGGAACTTTTTGAAATGACAGATACACTGCAAATGTTAAATTAATCATTTCCTTCTTCCTCTTGTTTTTTGACTAGGGAAGGTAGATGCAAATGTGTCTGAACAATTTTAGAACGGTTCAGTGACTTCATATTGCTCAATAATTTGCCTGCTGTAATAAAACATGATTTTGACAAATGAGCTACTGAAATGGAAAAAAAAGATCTACTTTTTAAAACAGATTTGGTGTACTTTAGACAATATGAGCTTGGGCTTGAAAACTGTTTTACCTTTTAGAATGGAACTTTACTTTGTAGCAGGCAGAAGATAGCATGTGGGCAGGTAAGTAGAGAATACTTTTGCTATTGATTTTTTAAAGTAAATACAGGCTAAGTTAAATCCTCTTTCATCTTTCCCTCCTTGATAATTATTCTTCTAAACTCTAGCAATGTAACAGATTTGACTTTCAGTACAATCTTCTCATCACAGACATAAAAAAGCAACAAAATGAAAGTCTCATAGTAATGTGAGGAAAAACCAGGATTATTTTCATTCTTAACTGTTTGAATGAACTGAATCAAATAGAACCCATAGAGAAGAACACTGTCATACCACTCAGCAAAAATCTGGGAAAATTCAAGTGAGCTGTTAGCCACTGGAGAGATGAAGTAGAAGGGGATATTGGAGAGGCCGGCTGAGTCGATGTACTGATACAGGCATTCCAGGAGGTCATAGATCACTCCAGAAGGGTAGCAGGGAACCAACACATTTCCTCCATTCCGAACGGTCAGAGCTAGACAAAGTGAAGCCAGAGGGGAAAAATAGTACCAAAAGGACAGTGTTTTAAAGGTAAAATGCAACTTCAAAAATAATAATTGCATTTATTTTGTTTTCCTCCTCTGTTCTTATAATTCACTCTGCTGCATAAGAATCTTCTTCTGAAGCAATTTAGAGGCTAAGAGCTGTTTTTTCCCATCACTGTCTAATTTAAGTTCCTGGGAACACAGAGCACAGTTAAGGGTGTGGGTTTCAATGGTTCCAGACAACAGAATCTCCAAGCTCCTTCTCTTTTTAGATCTTGCCCCAAAATTTGTAAGACTTGTCTGTTTTCGGTCTCTGACCAGGCTGAGTGACCAAGGAAAATAGGCCAAGTCTTTCTGTGTGAATCATTTTAGTGGCATTTTCCTTCACTCATGTTTGTAAGAAAATCCTTCATATTTTTATGGACTGTAATCACATTAAAAGTATAACTGGCTAAACCACACACAACGTAGCTTCTGAGTATAGAACCTGAGCTCTTTGGCACCTATGTCCACACTCCGCCTGTGACATACGGCTCATGCGGGTATTATAACTTGAGAACTGACAGTGTGCTGCTGTTTGGAGTGTGACATAGGGAACTCATCAGTGACCATGGGCCAAGAGCCTGGCTCTTGTCCTGTCTTTGTTCCAAGTTCCAGGATCACAGGTGAGCCACTGCAACCTTGCTAAGGCCTCAGTTTTCTCATCAGTTAGATGACAAGAATAAATGAGAGCAGTGATATTCAAGCTTTAGTTTGCATAAAAATTGCCAAGGGAACAGCTGAACATGCAACTTTTCTTCTGACTCCTCCTCCTCTCCCCAAAGATTCCAACTTAGTAGGTCTGTGGTAGGGCTCCAAGTATGCAATTTTTTTTTCATTTTTCTTTTATTATTCATATGTGCATACAAGGATTGGTTCATTTCTCCCCACTGCCCCCACCCCCTCCCTTACCACCCACTCCCCCCCCCAATACCCAGCAGAAACTATTTTGCCCTTATTTCTAATTTTGTTATAGAGAGAGTATAAGCAATAATAGGAAGGAACAAGAGTTTTTGCTGGTTGAGATAAGGATAGCTATACAGAGCATTGACTCACATTGATTTCCTGTGCGTGGGTGTTACCTTCTAGGTTAATTCTTTTTGATCTAACCTTTTCTCTAGTACCTGTTCCACTTTTCCTATTGGCCTCAGTTGCTTTATGGTATCTGCTTTAGTTTCTCTGTGTTAAGGGCAACAAATGCTAGCTAGTTTTTTAGGTGTCTTACCTATCCTCATCCCTCCCTTGTGTGCTCTCGCTTTTATCATGTGCTCATAGTCCAATCCCCTTGTTGTGTTTGCCCTTGATCTAATGTCCACATATGAGGGAGAACATACGATTTTTGGTCTTTTGAGCCAGGCTAACCTCACTCAGAATGATGTTCTCCAATTCCATCCATTTACCAGCGAATGATAACATTTCGTTCTTCTTCATGGCTGCATAAAATTCCATTGTGTATAGATACCACATTTTCTTAATCCATTCGTCAGTGCTGGGGCATCTTGGCTGTTTCCATAACTTGGCTATTGTGAATAGTGCCGCAATAAACATGGATGTGCAGGTGCCTCTGGAGTAACAGTCTTTTGGGTATATCCCCAAGAGTGGTATTGCTGGATCAAATGGTAGATCGATGTCCAGCTTTTTAAGTAGCCTCCAAATTTTTTTCCAGAGTGGTTGTACTAGTCTACATTCCCACCAACAGTGTAAGAGGGTTCCTTTTTCCCCGCATCCTCGCCAACACCTGTTGTTGGTGGTGTTGCTGATGATGGCTATTCTAACAGGGGTGAGGTAGAATCTTAGCGTGGTTTTAATTTGCATTTCCTTTATTGCTAGAGATGGTGAGCATTTTTTCATGTGTTTTCTGGTGTATATGTATAGTATAGTTGGCAAATATTTTCTCCCACTCTGTGGGTGTTCTCTTCAGTTTAGAGACCATTTCTTTTGATGAACAGAAGCTTTTTAGTTTTATGAGGTCCCATTTATCTATGCTATCTCTTAGTTGCTGTGCTGCTGGGGTTTCATTGAGAAAGTTCTTACCTATACCTACTAACTCCAGAGTATTTCCTACTCTTTCTTGTATCAACTTAAGAGTTTGGGGTCTGATATTAAGATCCTTGATCCATTTTGAGTTAATCTTGGTATAGGGTGATATACATGGATCTAGTTTCAGTTTTTTGCAGACTGCTAACCAGTTTTCCCAGCAGTTTTTGTTGAAGAGGCTGCTATTTCTCCATCGTATATTTTTAGCTTCTTTGTCAAAGATAAGTTGCTTATAGTTGTGTGGCTTCATATCTGGATCCTCTATTCTGTTCCACTGGTCTTCATGTCTGTTTTTGTGCCAGTACCATGCTGTTTTTATTGTTATTGCTTTGTAATATAGTTTGAAGTCAGGTATTGTGATACCTCCTGCATTGTTCTTTTGACTGAGTATTGCCTTGGCTATTCGTGGCCTCTTGTGTTTCCATATAAATTTAACAGTAGATTTTTCAATCTCTTTAATGAATGTCATTGGAATTTTGATGGGAATTGCATTAAACATGTAGATTACTTTTGGGAGTATCGACATTTTTACTATGTTGATTCTACCAATCCATGAGCATGGGAGATCTCTCCACTTTCTATAGTCTTCCTCAATCTCTTTCTTCAGAAGTGTATAGTTTTCCTTGTAGAGGTCTTTCACATCTTTTGTTAGGTTTACACCTAGGTATTTGATTTTTTTTGAGGCTATTGTAAATGGAATTGTTTTCATACATTCTTTTTCAGTTTGCTCATTGTTAGTGTATAGAAATGCTAATGATTTTTCTATGTTGATTTTATATCCTGCTACCTTGCTATAGCTATTGATGATGTCTAGAAGCTTCTGAGTAGAGTTTTTTGGGTCTTTAAGGTATAGGATCATGTCGTCTGCAAATAGGGATATTTTGACAGTTTCTTTACCTATTTGTATTCCTTTTATTCCTTCTTCTTGCCTAATTGCTCTGGCTAGGAATTCCAGTACTATGTTGAATAGGAGTGGAGATAGTGGGCATCCTTGTCTGGTTCCTGATTTTAGAGGGAATGGTTTTAATTTTTCTCCGTTAAGTATAATGCTGGCTGTAGGTTTGTCATATATAGCTTTTATAATGTTGAGGAACTTTCCTTCTATTCCTAGTTTTCTTAGAGCTTTTATCATGAAATGATGTTGGATCTTATCAAAGGCTTTTTCTGCATCTATTGAGATGATCAAGTGGTTTTTGTCTTTGCTTCTGTTAATGTGGTTTATTACGTTTATTGATTTTCGTATGTTGAACCACCCCTGCATCCCTGGGATGAAGCCTACTTGGTCGTGGTGAATAATCTTTTTGATGTGTTGCTGAATTCGGTTTGCCATTATTTTGTTGAGGATTTTTGCATCAATGTTCATTAAGGAGATTGGCCTATAGTTCTCCTTTTTGGAGGTGTCTTTGCCTGGTTTTGGGATAAGTGTAATACTGGCTTCATAAAATGTGTTTGGCAGTTTTCCTTCCCTTTCTATTTCATGGAACAGTTTAAGGAGGGTTGGTATCAGTTCTTCTTTAAAGGTCTGATAGAATTCAGCAGAGAATCCATCAGGTCCTGGACTTTTCTTTTTGGGGAGACTCTTGATTGCTGCTTCAATTTCATTTTGTGTTATAGGTCTATTCAGGTGATTAATTTCCTCTTGGTTCAGTTTTGGATGATCATATGTATCTAGAAATCTGTCCATTTCTTTAAGATTTTCAAATTTATTTGAATATAGGTTCTCAAAGTAGTCTCTGATGATTTCCTGGACTTCCATGGTGTTTGTTGTTATCTCCCCTTTTGCATTCCTGATTCTACTAATTTGGGTTTTTTCTCTCCTCATTTTAGTCAGGTTTGCCAGGGGTCTATCGATCTTGTTTATTTTTTCAAAGAACCAACTTTTTGTTTCATTAATTCTTTGTATGGTTTTTTTGGTTTCTATTTCGTTGATTTCAGCTCTTATTTTTATTATTTCTCTCCTTCTATTTGTTTTGGGATTTGCTTGTTCTTGTTTTTCTAGGAGTTTGAGATGTATCATTAGGTCATTGATTTGGGATCTTTCAATCTTTTTAATATATGCACTCATGGCTATAAACTTTCCTCTCAAGACTGCCTTAGCTGTGTCCCATAGGTTCCGGTAGGTTGTGTTTTCATTTTCATTGACTTCCAGGAACTTCTTAATTTCCTCTTTTATTGCATTGATGATCCACTCTTCATTAAGTAATGAGTTATTTAGTTTCCAGCTGTTTGCATGTTTTTTGTCTTTACTTTTGTTGTTGAGTTCTACTTTTACTGCATTGTGGTCAGATAGTATGCACGGTATTATTTCTATTTTCTTATATTTGCTGAGGCTTGCTTTGTGCCCTAGGATATGATCTATTTTGGAGAAGGTTCAATGGGCTGCTGAGAAGAATGTATATTGTGTAGAGGTTGGATGAAATGTTCTGTAGACATCTACTAGGTCCACTTGATCTATCCAAGTATGCATTTTTATTAAGTGACCTTACTGATCTCAAGGCAGGCATTTAGTGCACCCCACTCAGAAATAGCGCATATTTTTTTTCAAGTCTAAAGTTCCTTGAATCTGTGATTCTAAACAAACATGCAAACCCGAGACTCTCCTTGAGACCAATACAATAATTTTTTCCACAGTAAGAATAAATTAGCTTTACATCAGCAAAGAATGAAAACAGTATGATTATTAGCACGGCTATACAGTGCCTTCCATGTATTATAGAAGATGACCACTTCATTCTGGAGCAGAGGTAGTATCACTACAAGTTACTAGGCTCTGAGCATCTCGGTTCTTCTTTGGCAACCATCATGGACTGGATGTTTATGTCCTCCTCCCAAGTTTGTAAGTGGTGGCCCTAACCCCCCAATATGATGGTACTAAGAGTAGGGGCTTTGAGAGGTACTTTTAGATATGGATGATGTCATGCGGGTGGAGACTTCAATGATGGGAATGGTGCCCTTGTAAGAAGAGGTAGAGAAACCACAGCTTCCTCTCTTCTGCATGTGAGGACACAGCACAAAGATGGTTGCCTGCAGAATGGCTAAGTCCTTGATCTCAGACTTCCTAATCTTTAGTACTGTAAAACATAAATATCTACTGTATATGCCACCCTATGATTTTCTTACAGCAGCCTGAACTCAAAAGACAGTAACCAACTACGTTTCTTAAATAAAGGCAGGCTTTCTAGATTTTTTTGACAATTACATTAAAGGAAAATAAATTTGTCCTAAGTAGAAAACATCCCACAGGCTTCTCAATTTAGTCTTCCTCCAAAAGAAGAAAAAAATAAAACCAAACAAATAACAGTGGGAAGAATTACAACTGTTCATTATATTGCTGTTGTAAGTCTTTTCTGGGCTATTATTTGCAAAACAAAGATTGAGTCTTCCCTTCTTTGTTACCTACCACCCTGTAAGCACTTCTTCCTTTACCAAATCAAACAAAAACAAGGGATTAAATAAATGTTGCCTGTGGGAGAATGCTGAGTATTTGTTCTGTACAGTGCTAACAATTCTAATTTGCCATTGTAACAGGTACGCTTAGTACACCATCAGATTTAAGTTACGTTAGAATTGCTCCTGTTGACAACAGCACACCTTAATGGATGGGCACAAAGTGTGGAATTACATGGGAGTGGGGAAGCCTCAAAAGAGAGACCAAAGAGTATGACTGTGGAGGGAAGGCACTAAAAATACATTTAGGACATATGACCCAATTTTGGTTTTGAGAAGGCTCCTTACCCAGGTTGCTGCAGAACTCTCCCACCATGCCATCAGGGTTTGCAGTGGGGATCTGGGTAAGTCCTGTCAGAATGAGAACATCACTGTTTTTGAGAGAAGCTTGGTCCATGGGCTAAAAAAACAACAGAGAACTATAATCAGTAATATAAAAGCAAGGGAGCAAGGGAGCAAGGGAGCAAGAGCAAACAGATACTATTCTTTCTATGTCTAATCTTTCATCAAGTTCTTTTACTGCCTCTAATGAAAAGGCTCTAAGTCATAGAACAGCATTGGCTTAGGGGCACAGGGACCAAAGCACAGACTTGTACTTTTGAGATCATTGTTCCTCTATATATGCATTTTTCCTCAATTAAAACACGGCATCTTGCATTTCTATAATGCTTTGCTCTTTTCAAAATGTCATCCACATGTATCTTCAGTGGCTCTCAAACTTCACTGTGCAACAGATTCTCCTGGAGAGTTTGTTAGCCATGGATTGCTGGCTTCACTCCCAGAGTTTCTGATTCATTCTGAGGTAGGACCTGAGAATCTGCATTTCTAATGAGTTCCTAGGAAATGCTCCCATTGCTGGCTTGGGAATCACACATTGAGAACTACTGAGCTGTATATAATCTGATTGTCAAAATAACCCTGTTAAGTGCAGGAAATAAGTGTATATTATGAGAATACAGAGTCAGGACTTAGGGATGAGGTGATTTACCTTAAGTCCCAAGGGCAGAGGAGCTAGAATACTGGATTAGGAATTAGAAATATAAACCTAATCCCAATTCCATGACTAGCTTGACCAGACTCTGAGCTGGATTTTCTGTGAAATGGGACTATCTTGACCCACCTTCATCATATGACTTCTGTGAGTACCACAGGCTGATATACTTCATCTTCTTGTGAACTGTAAAGTCTTATTGGACACCTCAATGTGATCCTCACAGCATCGTGCTTTATTTTTACCCAGCATATTTTGAATTTAATTTTGATTATTTTCAAAGCATTTCAAAAAATACTAACTACCTTTTCTAAATGAATCAGGACTCCAATTGGAAACAAAAATGAAGGCTTGTGGATTAGAGAATTCATAAGTTTTTATCCTGTGACACTTTCACTGAAAATCCTCTCTGGAACGTTAGAAGAAAAAAAACATGCAACATAGTTCACTAAAAAGTCTTATTTCTTCTTTCTCTGTGCCACCCAGTACATCTCCTAAGAAAGAAAGAAAATTCCAAACAACAGCCCAGCAGAGTCCCAGCATCTGGACTGTTAGCTGAATATATGCCTTTTGAGGAATTTTCCTTTACCATTTTATATCAGCATGGATTCATGGGGTTTACTATGTTTTATATAACATGATTATGGTTGTATGTCATAAGCTGCTTCAAAACCTGCAAAAAATATTTTTTTAATGTGGACACAGAAAGAGTCCACTGGCAAAGATGACAACAGTATGTAAGTAGCTCCTCTTTGCACAGATATATACTGATGCATGTAGCAGCTTTTTCTTTGCTTGGGCAGAACTGATCTACTTGTACTTCTCCACAAAACACATATGCATCCATTGTCTCCACAGAAGGAAGGAAGGGGAGGTAGAGCACAATGGTTTTTAGCAGCAGATGTGTAATGAGCCTGGGTTTGCTTCCTGTGTGCACCAGAAGGAAACTGGAATGGTGACAAAAGGGCCAGGCATCATATCAGGTAACATATTTAGCTTAAAACAGCAACAATGCTACACAGACTTTGCTAGATCAAGCCAATAATGATCCTGATGGCTGATGGGGGATGGAGGACCTAAGAAGCACTAAAGCCTAAAGTGGTATACACAATTCTATGTTGGGCTACGTTCATTTTTCCAGATTTAGCTGGGTTGTCAGAAGGGGCCTTGACCCTAGAAAGGTTAAGGACAACTGATCCAGATGAAAACATATAATAGAAAATAAACTCTGGCCCTGAAAACATTCTCTCTGAACCTTGGCCACCAGCAACTTCTTCCTTTGTAAATTAAATGCCCACAAACAAGGAAAGATAGTGCTATCACGTGAGTAGTACCAACCTATAACAGTTACAGATCCTTCACTATCAGGGTGATAGGATGTTTGAAATTTTAGCCCTACAACTCAGAGCCTTGATTTCTAAGGCTCCAGTACAGCAGCAGACTTAAAAGGCTTTTAGTGACACTCTCCCAACCCAGCTGACATCTCAAACATCTCTACTTTACCACCAAAGGTCAAATGTAGACATTACTGGTGCCAATGGCCACTCACTGAATGCTTTAAATGGGAGCATTTTTGTTCCAACACACATAAACGAAGAAAAACACATCTTGTTCAGGAATCAACTAACACACTTTACAAAACTGATAGTCAAAAACAAGGCTGTGGAATAAAACTGTGAAAAACCCTAAGCCTAAGAATGTCACGTATACCATGTTGGTCGTCTAATGGTCACTTTTTATTGACTACTTTGCAGAAGATGGAGAGAGATGATCCAGTCCCTTAGGCCCTAGAAACTTACAATCCAATTGAAAACATTTACATATAATGATGATGATGATGATGATAATGGTAATAATAATAAAGAATTTTTCAAAAGTCATATAAAATATAAAGTAAATTTTGTTTGTACTGAGTACATAAATGCAAAGAGGAATGCAGTCTAGAGACTGTACCAGACCAGGAGAAGTCAGTAACATAAGGCTTTCTGGCAGATGAAGTTTTTGGTTCTAATTTTCTTTCCTCTATTGGCTATGGAACTTAAAACTCAATTTAAGACAGCCCGGTCACTCACACTGTCTTTGCAACATTTCTGTGATACCCTTTTTTTGTCCTTGTCTTAGATGTCCCTCTTACATGTACTCCCAGGACATCTAATACTTTGTATTTCAGTAGTAACCACACTGAATTGTACTATTTTCTTATCCCTGTCCCCACAGAACTATTAAGGTCCCTAAGGGTAAGGACTTTGCATTCCTATTGCCTAGCAAAATGCCTAGCTAAATGAACATTTGCTTGAAGAACACATGAAGAGAACATGGTATGGTAGAAAATGTGAGAGTATTCCATACTGGGAGGTGGTACACCAGAAGTCAGAAATGTGACAGCAAGCCTGTCAACTGCAGAAAGGGTCTGGAGAGGACAGAGAGCTGGGGAAGGCAAATTGCAGATGTCAAATGAATTCATTTGGCTTGAACAAAGTCTAATTCAGGGCTGAGAAAAGAGATTAGTAAAAAGACAAAGTATAACTAATGAAGGGCCAAAAAGGTCAGAATCATGCAGACTAACCAGGTGCATAATAAAAAGTCAACAGCCTGAAGCAAGGAATAGTATTTTGGTAACAATTGTTACAGAAGATAAAGAAGGCAATAGGGGAGAACACTTTTAAGGTGAGATGGTAATTTCACTCTTAGAATGTGAAACCAGATCCATGAGGTAAACAGAAGAAAGCCTGGTGTGGAAGATGAGACAAACAAGGTGTACAGGAAAAATCTCATCACAGATAAGAGACAGAACAGTAGTCAGGCAATAAAGCAGACTAATCTGTGGGTCTTTCCCACATTAAAAATCACAGGATTTTCATAAAGGCAGAAAAGAAAATGAATCAGTGAAAAGTTAAAGACTCAATGGTATATAATTCTGTGATGAGAGAAAGGAAGAAACATCTAAGATCACGAAGTACAACACCATACCCTGCCTTCCAAGATCAATGCAATTCCACTTCTCCATGAGACCTCCGACTCCCTAGCTGGAAGTCAACCAATCTCCTGAATGGATTGCTAGTCTTTTAATACCATTCCAAAGCTGAACGTGTATACATCTTCTTCCCCTATAGTAATTTTTGTAAATGTCGTATCTATACATCCTGTTTTCTCTACAGCCTAGCCGAGTGCACTACATTGCCCAAATGAGGGGTTTACGAAGCAAAGAAATACATGAATATACATAAGTAGCACATATTATTTTTCAGAGAAATATTCTACAGAGACACAGTGTATAGCTAGGTAAGACAAGACAGCAAGTGTGGAAAGACACGGGCAGAGTGCAGGCACTCCCTCCTAGCTTCATGGGGCCTACTTCTATCGAGCCCAACTCTCCAACTAATTCATGGGCTGTTTGTAGCTCAGTTTCCTTGCTGCCCTTGCCCCCAATATATTTAATTTTTATTGTAGAGTTTCAGACCAAAGTATTGCATCACTAACAAAACATCTGGGGAAATTCAAGGGGGTGGTGGGATGGGGGAGAAAACAATGTAAAAAACAAAACAAAACAGAACAAAACCCACATAATGACTGTTGTAGTTCTAAAAATCTGATTCAAGGAATCCAAATATAAAATACTTTCTTTAGATTTAAGGGAATAATCCACATTTGTTATTGCATAGTCCTCAAGATATCAAGAAAACAAACCAACAAGGAGCATCCCCTGAACTACAGGGAAGAAGGATCAGGCAGGGGAGGAGGAGGAAATGGATCAGTGTTTAGCAGACTTTCTCATAGGCCAGCTATCTCTATCTTCCAACCCTATAGGCAAGAAGGAATCCTCTGGGGAAGTCAAAGGAATAAAACATAATGGGCTTCAGGGAACTGACTTGGTAGAAAATGCCAATTTAATTTCTTAAAAAATATTCTTTTTCCAAAACTCTAAGTTAGAGATTCTTAACCTGATAAATAAAAATGGGTTTCTAAGGACTCTATAAATTCATGTCTCCAGAAATAAAATGCAAAGTCTAGTGTAGCTGTACACACTTTAAAAATGGTGTGGGTTTTTTTTTTTTTTTTTTTGGTGTAGATGTCATCAGATCTTTATCAACAGGGTTTGGGCTTCATGACCCACAAAATGTTAAGAACCACTGCTCTAAGGCAGAAATTGCCCCATGGAGCCCTTACCTTAAAATCACTTCTCTTCTCCTTCCAGTCACCACTGGTTGACAAACCAGAGAACCACCTTTCTTAGCCACCAGGCCAAATGTTAAAAAGGGAAGGAAATAGTTTATTGACTAGCTGGGCTAGGTCCCCCAAATTTGCTCTAGGCCAGAGACCAAGGTATTGGAGAATCTTTAAGATCTTCAGGTGAGAGCTGAAGAGGTAGGACGTACACTTTCTAGGTCTCTGATGTGGTCAGAAGGAGA